ATATGTTAATATTTTAGGCCAAGCGCAGTGGCTCACGCCTATGGTCCCAGCACTTTGGGAGGCAGAGGCGGGCAGATCACCTCAGGTCGGGAGTTCGAGACCAGCCTGACCAACATGCTGTAACCCCATCTCTACTAAAAATACAAAATTACCTGGGCGTGGCAGCGTATGCCTGTAATCCCAGCTACTAGGGAGGCTGAGACAGAAGAATCACGTGAACCCAGGAGGTAGAGGTTGTGGTGAGCTGAGATCACGCCAATTCACTCCAGCCTGGGCGACAACACCGAAACTGTCTCAAAAAAAAAAAATTTTTTTAAATGGAATATTTAGCATTATATTAAAGGATAATACACCACAACCGAGCTGGGTGCACCTGTGAACATGGAGGTTGTTCCAACAGCAGGTATAAGGTCAGTGATGCCCACGAACAAACTAAAAGGGGAAACCCTGTGATGCTGTCAGATTAAAACACATGTGCAGCGTCCAGCAAAGATGGAGCAACAGAGACCAGATCCGTCTCCTGCCCGAAGGTTAAGGCAGAGCCAAGTCCAGCAGGTGGCAGGCTCCAGCGGGAAGCCCATGGTGAGAAGCGGGGAACCCCAAGTCTGCAGAGCTCGTTCAGGTTCTCAGCACCAGAGGGGGCTTCCTGGGGGTCCTTGAGGACTCACCTGGGCCTGGGTCAGCCAGTGCCTGAGTACAAGGACGCTGCCCAAGGCTGGGGAGGAATCACCCAAAAGACGACCAGAAGCCCCGGCACTGCCCCAGCAGCGGTGGGAAGGGAAGCGCCAGGGAGCAGAGACCTTAAAGAGGCAGAAAAACCCGGAGACCAGAGCGGCTCTGGGTCCACCTGACAGCTTAGGAACAGCGCCCAAGCCGGGCGCAGTGGCTCACGCCTGTAATCCCAGCACTTTGGGAGGCTGAGGTGGGCAGGTCACTTGAGGTCAGGAGTTTGAGACCAGCCTGACCAATATGGTGAAACCTTGTCTCTACTAAAAATACAAAAAATTAGCCAGGTGTGGTGGTGCACACCTGTAATCCCAGCTACTCAGGAGGCTGGGAGAGAACTGCTTGAACCCGGGAGGAGGTCGTGGTGAGCTGAAATTGAGCCACTGCACTCCAGCCTGGGCAACAGAGCAAGACTCCATCTCAAACAAACAAAAGTGCCCCCCAAAAAAGACCACACTGTCTCCAGATGACCCAGTGCACCCCAGATACAAATCTATCCAGGTCAGGGGCAGTGGCTCACACCTGTAATCCCAGCACTCTAGGAGGCCAAGGCAGCAAGACCAGCCTGGGAAACACGGTGAAACCCCGTCTCTTCTACAAACACAAACACTAGCCGTACATCAGACTATAGCGCATGCCTGTAGTCCCAGATCCTTGGGAGGCTGAGGTAGAGGCTGCAGTGAGCTGTGATTGTGCCACTGCACTCCAGCCTGGGCAACAGAGCTAGATAGACCTTGTCTCAAAAATAAATAAATAAAACACTGGCCCAACACGGTAAAATTCAATGAAGCAAGAAAACACGGCAACAACGAGATGACCACTCAGGGCCGACAACCCAGCTGAGGCCGGCCGGGGACATCCGCAGGGCGCAGAAGCAAGGAGCTCCCATCTCCTGTGCACGTCCTTGCCGGGTCACCAGCCTCTGCCCTCTGCCCTGCGAGTCTCATCCCCGTACAGCGCGGGGCCCCCGCCTCAGCCCCACATGGGGTCGACTGCACTTACAGTCGTAATATGTCATTATGTGACTCATTATTCCGTGTTATTCTGAGGGTCAGCCGTTAGGACGGTATTTACAGTCATCATAACTGACCCTGAACACACTGCAAGATCATTTCCTGGAATTCTGATCTCTGTGTCTGATTACTTTTTCTTTCATACGTGAGCTACTTAGGCTTAATCAGAAAGGAAGTCATGAAAAGCAGAGCCTCACTCCTCCTCCGTGGTGAAGATGTCGAAGCAGCCGTGGGTGAGCACGTGGTCCAGAGTCTTCAGCAGCGGCAGGGACACCCTGAGGGGAGAAGGAGCTGTGAGACCCTGGACACCAGCAACAAGGACGCCCATCCCCGACTGGCTGAGAGTCAGTACGATCCCAGTGGAAACCCTGGCACCACTGTGGAAACCAAAAAGCCCCCTTTATAATGTATGTGGAAACGCAAATCTTCAGGAAAAGATAAAACTGTGGCAGGAAGGAACATGGCTGGAGGCTGACACTGAACTTCGAAGACGGTGGTAAAGTGGAAGGGATGGAAAGAGCACAGCCCTGGTGCAAAGCGAAGCAAACATGTCAGGCACAGAAGGCTCCAAAGTAAACCCACAGTTTCTTACAAAGCTGCAACGGCAACACAGCGGAGAGGGAGCCCTCCCGGCAATGAGGTGAGCACTGCTGGGCGTCAAGGTCCTGTGCCGACGCCATACCACGTACGAAACCTCGCTCAGGACACACCCCAGGTGTAAATACACAACCCAAAACTATAAAACTTCCAGGACAAAACAGAAAATCTCGGTGACCACGGATTAGGCAAGCTTGTCTCTCATACACCAGAAAAATCTGTGCCTCAGAGGACGGGGCATGAGGAAAGTGTAAGCCCCCACACGGTGCGTGAAGGGACAGGCAGGGAGAAAACATCAAGTCACATGTGTGACGAGGGAGGATCAGACCACAACAGTCCAGGAAGAACAGAAGAAAATGAAGACCCTTCTCCAAAGAGGACATAAAGCAGCAAGGCGCCAGACAAAGCAACCTCAGAGAGCAGCAGCAGCAGGAAGGCATGACACGGGCGCTCTGGAAACCCTCCAGCAGCTTTCCAAAGCTAGACATTCGCCTCCGTGTGGGCCAGCCTGCAGCACCTCGGTAGTTACCCCACAGAAAAGCAGCCTGGGAGGTTCCCTCTGGGCGACAGGAGCCTCAGGAGAGCTTTAGCACAGGCCAACGGACGCAGGAGAGCTGGACTCCGCAGCCCACGGCCAGGGAGGCCCTGCGGTGCACACCTCCCCACAGGCGTGCACACACTGACTGCCCACAGCTCTCCCAGCAATAGCCCCAAGGGAGAAACCACCAAAATGCCCACAGACAGACACACTGTGGTGCCTCCACCAATGGACACGACTCGTCAGCAAGCAGGAATGAGCGACCGGCACACGGCCCAGACGCCTCAGGGGGCCACATGCTGAGGCTATGGTGACGCAGGTCGGGCGCACAGACTCGAAGGGCCAGGAGGAAACCCTGGGCTGGAGCCCTCCATTGTGAATGGGGACGGTTTCAAGGGTGGACGCCTGTCAAAATCGACTGAACTGCCCCCTTTATGTGCAGCTGATTATAGTCATAACGAGAGAAGAAAACACGGCTGGGCCGAGTTCCTGTTCGCTGAGAGCGACATCTGTGCTCTCCTGGGAGAGGCGGCCGAGGCCCCGCCCGAGGGGACACCAGGCCCAGGTCCTCGTCCTCACACACGCCGGGAACAGCCCTTCCAGGGGACGTTCCCAATTCTGAGGTCAAGGCCCACAGGGTCTATACGGTGCCTCCAAGTAAAGGCAGAAACCTCCAGAAAACAGCCATGTTTCTCACTTGACACTCCATCCTCAGGAACGCACGCTCTCACGCTGGGTGGCTGTGTCCGCAAGCGCGTCCCCGGGAGCACTGAGCCGGAGGAGCTCGCCACAATGCCTTCCTACACGCAGGGACCACCTTCTACTCATATTACCTTTACATCCAGTGTACACAAAACGGTCATTTCCCTGCCTGACGTGCAGACTGGAAGAGGAGGTGCAGGGTCTGAGGCTTGACCGCCCAGAGAACCATGTGCTGCAGGCACATCCTCCTCGCTGAGCCACCAACGGGTAAAGCATGTCTCGCTTCTCCCTTCAAACCCCAGACAGACCCTGCAAGACCCCGGGGATGTAGGGAACATGGTGAGAGGCACCAGCACCACTCACACCTCTGAGGCCGCCAGAGACACCACTCACCTGTCATTCAGAAGGTTGTCCTCGAAGATCTGCAGAAGGGTCCTGCTGAAGCTGCCCAGGGCCTGCGGGTCACTCTGAACGCCCTTCATGTACTCGAAGAGGCTCTGGGTGGAGTGCCGGACCTGCAACACGGAGACGCCTCAGACGGGAGCGGGACCCCCAGCCCGCCACCCCTCAGGCTTGGCTGCAGCCGGCCAAGCATCTGCTAAAGCGGAGAACTGCTCTGAGCTGCGGAGACGTGAGGGTCTGGCCCACAGCGGCTGGTGTGGACGCCAGCACGGAGGCACCCACGGCGCAGACACCCAAAGCAGACACACAGCTCTCGGCAGCGGCAGCACAGCTGAGGCCTCACTTAGGACGTGAAGGGGCCCACGTGACGAAAGCCTGCAGCCACTCACGTTGGGTTTCGCTCACGTTTCCCACTGAAGCGGGATTTGATAATCCCCGCAACTCCCCTGTGTGCAGAATGTCTCGGGGCCCGGCTCGCATGGCCTGGGTCTCCCCGCACGTGTCCGCATGGTGCAGAGGGCACCTCATGTCCTGTTATGTGTTTTCTAGGACGCAGCAGCTGTCACAGGGTTGCCACACGAAGCAGGTCATGACCCAAGGTGCTGGGGCCACGAGTGACAAGATGCAGAGAGGCCTTCCAGTTCCCCAGCTCAGCCACGACAGGCTCTGGAGACCCTCCCCACAGAATGGGAAGCTGCGCCTGGAGCCCTGGAAGTGGAGGGCGGAGCCCAGGTATCCACATGCAGGCATCAGACACAGGTCCTGGAGGGCTGAACCCCGAGGGGACACTTGGGGCTCCAGGGCTGCGGCCGCGGGAGGAGAGCGGAGCTGGCCCACTTCAAAGTCTGCTGCTGACCCCCACTCAACGTGCTGTTCCACCTTTATCAGATTCGACCATCCCACAGGCCCTAAGCCTCCTGGGTCATGAGGAAGCCGCTGGGCCCCTGACCCCCTAACCAAATACGCCCGAGAGAGAGAGAAAGCACTGGAAGAAAAGGCCCAGCTCCACATACACTCCCAAGAAGCAAGGAAGCGCCAAGTGCCCCTGGGGCCACCACCTCCCACCCCCGCCAGCGCGACGCCTCCTCACCGTCGACTCCGTCAAGCCGCCCAGGGACACGACAAGCCCCAGCAGGACGGGGTAGCGGTAGGTGGGCAGCCCGAGGAGCTGGGTGACGCGTGAGAAGGCCTGGGAAGGTGCATTCCAATTCACGGAGGCCACGTCGGACCTGCAAGAGAGTGAGTGGGACGAGGCCGGGCGGCCCATGATCTTGCCACGGCTGCGGGGCCAGTGTGGACGGTCTACACCCCGACAGTTCCTGGGAGCCAACGCGGGCCGTACGCCCCGACGGTACCTGGGAAACAGCTTTTCCAGTTCTCCTCGGTGGGGCACGTGGGGGATGGGAGGGCTGTCAAAGTGCAGGAGCGTCAGGAACACGCTGATGGCGTGAGCACGGAAACGGTCGATCTTCTCACTGGCCTGCTGGGCCACACAGCACATGATGCGCTCACAGCTGCAAACCAAGAGCAGGAGGTAAACCGAGGGCGGGCGGTAAACCGAGCGCGGGCAGTAAACCGAGCGCGGGCAGTAAACCAAGGGCGGGTGGCAAACCGAGCGCGGGCAGTAAACCGAGCGCAGGCAGTCTGAGCCATGAGTCCAGCTCAAGCACCACGAGGACATATGGGCTCCTCGGGACTTGGCAGCTGAGTTGGCAGCTGACACCAGGACACTGGCTTGGAAGGACCACACCCCATTACCTTCACATCCCAGGAGCCCGACCCTACAGGTGCACAGCAAATACATGCTACGTACATGTGACACACATGCCAATGAGTTCTTAGGGTTGAAGCGGGGACAACAAATATGATTACAGAAGCGGGTGGAGAAGAGTGTGGGGGACAGAGAGGCCGGGGATGGAGACAGAGAAGCTGGGGCTGGCGAAGAGATGGGGGGAGGGAAGGAGAAAGAGGTGAGAACTAAGGAAATCAGGCTCCGGGATCCCCACAACCGAGTGCCCCCGACAGAGACCCACAAGGGCAGGGCCTGGGACCCCCATGACTCAGTGCCCCTGACAGACAGATCGACAGCAAGTGCAGGGCCTGGGGGTCCCCACAACCTAGTACCCCCGACAGAGACCCACAGCAAGGGCAGGCCCCAATGGCAGCCTCAGGTGCAGGGAACTGAGTGATGGCTCAGCTGGTCCTGGCAGGAGCAGACCCCCAGGTTCAGGGTCCTAAGCTGAGCAGTCCCCACCTCCAGCCCGGCCCTAACCTGGGAAGCTGGTTGTCATCAAACTGGTCAGAGCACTGGGGGAGGCCCAGGCTGGGGAGCAGAGCCTTGTCCTGGGGGCACTGGGCAGAGGAGGAGGGGCCCCAGCTCAAGCCATGGCTACAGGAGCAGGAGGAGGAGCCTGCACAAACCTGAGGTCACGGACCAGAGAGGCTCTCTGGGAGGAAGATGTGTGCCCAGCAATGCAAATGCCACTGAGCACCAGGACTGCCCGCCCCACCAGCCTCCCCAAGCTTGGGGCTGCCCTCTAGGATGCAGAAGAGCTGCGACGTGACACTCACATGTGGGCCTCGATCAGCTCAGGCTGGCTCCGAGCCAGCAGAAGTGTCACATCCATCAGACCGGTCATGGCGGCCTTGCGGACCCTGATGGGACAAGGAGAGGCAGAGACACCCAGCTTGAGAGGGAGTTCCCAACCCCGGTTCTACAACCACGCTGGCAGGCTGTGCGAATTCAACACCAGTGACTAACCCCACACAGAGCCCAGGCACGCTGCCAGGGAGAAAAGTCACAGGGTCTGCAGAGGTTCCCTGCGTGCTACAGGAACGTGTGCAGGGAAGGGAGACCCACAGCCGTATATACGGGGGCCCCGAGGCATCCTGCGCACACACAGAAGTTTCGGGGATTATCAATCCCATTTCAGCGAGAAATGTTGGCAAAACCCAATGTAAGCAGCCGGCAGCCTTTCACTGAAGACGCGTCCTTCCTCACAGTCAGTGAGGATGACGCAGGCCCAACACCTAAGGACACGCTGGACAAGCACCTGCAAAACCCCGCCACGCAGGCTCACCCGGGAGCAGAGAACAGGTCGTCTTCCCAAGAGCCTTTAAAACACAAAATACGGCACTCTACGAAAATTTCTCCCTGCAGAAAAGCCCGGGGCCTCTGAGTTTCCATGGAACAGACGGGCTTCTTCGAGGAAATGCTCCCCCGTGCTGCGCACGTACCAGCCGCCCGCGTCCCCCCATGCTGCGCACGTACCAGGCACCCACGTCCCCCCTGCTGCGCACGTACCAGCCGCCCACGCCCTGCTGCGCATGTACCAGCCGCCCGCGTCCCCCGGTGCTGCGCACGTACCAGGCACCCACGTCCCCCCTGCTGCGCACGTACCAGCCGCCCGCGTCCCCCCTGCTGCGCACGTACCAGCCGCCCACGCCCTGCTGCGCACGTACCAGCCGCCCACGCCCTGCTGCGCACGTACCAGCCGCCCACGCCCTGCTGCACACGTACCAGCCGCCCGCATCCCCCCTGCTGCGCACGTACCAGCCGCCCACGTCCCCCCTGCTGTCCGTGGTGTAGTCGTTCATGCAGCCCAGCAGTGCAGAATAAATCTGGGAAACGTTCTCTCTGCACACAGCTTCGTCTGGGGCTCCTGGTTTCACACCAACAGTCTGGCAAATCCTAAAATTTAAAACGTCTGAGCTAACAGACAGACATCTGTGAGCCTCGCCTTCCACGCCACAGAGGTCTGATGTGTGTTCCCGATCCTGAGAAGACACACTCACAACAGTCTAGGACCCTCGCGTACATCAGAAATCCAGAGCTCCTTCCACACGTACGGAACGTGGGACGTGCTTCCCCAAGGTCACGCTCTGCCGTCTCTCTTGTTGAAAGGTGGACGGGGACACCCCCTACGGCGGGTCCCTCCCACTTCCCACCCTGACTAGAGGGGACGGATGCTGGCATAGGAGAGAAGGGGGCGTGCATGACCCCCACGGGGCTGCTCCTCTTGTGTGCCTGCAGGGAGGAGAGGGCATGTGGCACGGCCCCAGGTGCGTGTCTGTCAACGACGGTGGAGATCATTCCAGACACTGGCTGGCAGGGTCACCTCCTCTTTGCCAACCTTGGGCCAGGACACATTCCCCAATTCTCAAAGGGGCCCAGTGTTGCTAAAGATGTGTAACATTCACTATGACTATGACAGCAAGAGACTGAACGAGCCTCCAGGACCTGGGACTGGCGATCCTCTGGAAGAAACCTAGGAAGTGATGAATCGTAAATCCTGCCTCTGAGCAAACACATCCTCCTTAGCGTTCATTTCTTGGCCTTTCAGAGACTTACGACTTTAGGGAGGAACTGCTGGGACTCACCTAGCAATGGCCTTCAACCCATCTCTCCTCGACTCAGGGAAATTTACGTCCTCAGGAGAAGTGTGGGTAACTGCTCTTAAACCTGCGAGAACCTGGAGAGCAATAAAGAATCATGGAAGAACCGTAAGCTATAACGAAGTGCACTCTAGGGAGGTGGTGATGTCGGCCGGAGCCACAGACCCCGCACCATGTGACAGGCAGCTCCTGGCACCACCTTCCTCGAGGGGCCTCCCATGGCCCCCGGTGGAGGCCAGGAAGGACACCCAGAGAGGGGTCACCTCCAGCCTCTCCACAGTCAGCCCCCACCCCAGGGCGTCACTGGCGGTCTGGTCGCACCCTACCTGAGGTCCCCCTTTTGTCCTATGCTGAGACCTGGGGTATGGGACAAAGAAAGCAGCTGGGTCTCAACAGCCTCATCTGTCATGTCTCCAAGTGATCCTGTTTCACAGTTATCTGTGTTTCAACTGTGTGAGAGAGCAGGTCGCCGAGGCCAGCGTGGGGCTGACCTGTGGGAGGACGTGGAGCCGCCTCTGCCCCCGCCTGGATGCGCGGCCGCAGCCAAAACAGGACCCGGCTCCACAAACGCACAAATGCAACTGTGTTCTCTTCACTCCCAGCAGCTGCTTCTACAAACACCACCTTCTCCTCCCTCCCAGAATTCAGCTTTTCAAAGTCTGTCCTCTGACAGGAAAGGGTTTGCCAGGGCCCTGAGGGGTCACAGACCTTGGGTGCCCTCTGCCCCCTTTCTCCTGGCCACAGGTGCCGATTTCCAGGAATCCCCTCCCAGCTACAAGCACTGAGTGG